ATAACTTCATCTCTCTCCAAGAATGAGATTAGGGAAATTTACATTATTTGATCATTTTTTCCAGTGTCTTTGGTTGCAGTTTGGTTTCTTTTTTTTTTTTTGCAAGTCTAGGAAATTATACACAAAATTGACATTTAAAGAAGCCAAGGTCATAAAATCAAGAACTCAAAGAGTTAGGAAACTCTATTACTAGAGCTGTTTGAACCCTATTCTTTAATCTACTGTATATGCAAACAGTTTGGTTACCAGCTCAAGGTAAAACCTTTGATAAGGCTCAATGCCTCAACCACCCCAACGATGGTTATGTTTATTCTAAGAACAATCCAGGGCACTATAATGTAGAAAAATTGATTTCTACATGAAATAAACCTCATCAAAGTTGAACGAGTAAGGTCGCGAACAGCAAGAAAAGGAAAGCAGTCCTGGCTGAAGCAGCTGGAGTTGGGGATTTTCAGCTCTGTGCCTGCCTTTGATTGCTTGGGAGCTACTGAGGAAAGCATCAAACCCAAACTTTTGCCCAGCAGTTTCTGATTTCCTTCATTTCTTCTCCATGCCCAGCAGTGGAGCTTGGCAACGTAGGATGCTGAGGCATTAAACTTTTGGAGTTTCCACTGAACTGAGTGGTCATTTGACCTTAAATGTGAGTAACTTGCTGTCATTTTGAGTCATCTCACAGTCCCAGACAGACTCAAAACCAGTGGTTGTGCTGGACCTCCCTGAACCTCACTTCTTCATTTGTGAACCAGGACAACACTAGTCTCTCTCTTTGCAGGGGAGCTGTAAAAATATCATGCAGACCCACAACGTTATCTGCATATATAGGCAAGAGGAGGTCAGGGGAGGACTTTGGTATTAAAGCAGTACGCGCCACAGGAAAACCCAGCAGTAATTATTAATTCCATTTTCAAGTAAGGTTTGAATACAGCTCCACAAACGAAGTACTGAAGAATGAGGGTAAGATAAAATATTGACTAGCTGCTCCATCATTGTCTGGTCTGTGCCCTACATAGCACAAGGGTATTTTGGAAAAAGCAGAATGGAAAATCTTAATAAAAAGCTGAAGCTTTAAGAATTTGAATTTTTGAACTTAATCTTTTTTATGATCATTTTAACTCGGTTGTGTGCACCTCTGCGTAGAGAGATAGTCACATATAGACATGAACATACAGAGAGGTTACATAGGCACATTATTCTACAAATATACAGACACTTATCTGCGTGTACCTAGACTTTCCTAAAACATAAACAAGCATCTGACACCTAATGCAGCCCTTGATGAGAACTGCTCTCTCTTCTCCATAGAGAACCACCAGTAATTATTTACCATTAGTTCTTAACGGGAAGAGATTTCAGCTGGGATGCAGTAAACAAGAAAACCGTATAGACTGTTCAATACAGCCCGGCTGACTCTCAGCTGAGGTAAGAAATGACTGGATCACACCTCCTGGATATTTTAGTTTTTATCACCGGGGGAAAGCCCCTTATTAATCTGTATTTGGTCAGGTCCCTTCCATGTCCATATATGCAATGCTGTCAGGATCATACAAGTGCTCTTTCCAGTTCACGTTACCATGCTTCGAACCCTAAACTGCTGTGGGGTTAAGCGACTAACAAGATAGTTCACGTTACCATGCTTCGAAGCTGTGGGGTTAAGCGACTAACAAGATGGGTTCATTTAGACTAAAGACATTCTGAACTCTGCTACCTTTCTACCTGCCATAGATCTATGTATTTAGTTTTTGCAACAGGGTAAGGGCTCCCTCTTCCCATGACAGAAACATCCAATTGTGGCAAAAACATAGTCCTACAAGGGCAACACTCGTGATTCGCAAGGAAAATTGTTGTCTGTGAGAAAAAAAAGGGAAAAATCCTCCATGTGGATTATTTCATTGCTTTAAATAAAAATTAAAACAAACAAACAAAAGGGTCAAGTTAAAACTGTGTTATTTTTAAAGGCATGTTCCCTAACACTGATACATTTTCTGGCACATCATCTCCCCATTCCTGTGACTCCTCCACCATCAATAGGAGCTGTGTGCATCAACCCGAGAAGCCTGAACACCGGGCAGACCGTATGTGAAAAGCACCATTTTTTTTGTTACGGCAGAGAATGGAAGTATGCAACTAGCACACACTGTAAAAGCATTTAAAATATGACCAAAAAAAATTGTTCAAATGCTTTCAATCTGTAGAAAACAAATACTCTCTTCACTGACTGCTCTGTGGCAAACTTCTAATTCCACCCAGAAAACCCAGCATTCCCAGTCTGGGCTAACGACCATGCTACCAGACATGAGTTTATGTTTTTCATGCACATTTCATGTATTCCCACATGCTGTGTTGCTGCCAATAATTTATGACTGATCTGCACCCAGCCTGCCCTTCAGCATTTTATTTAATCTCTGCAACAGTGATTTACAATGACTCATCATTAATACAAAAATGTACATGTGTGTTAACAAGTTTGGAAGAATCTAAGGACGAAGGCAAAATTTTCTGCAAGTAGTGGCTGAATGACTTACGAGTCCACTGAAGAAAGGCAAAGCTAACCAGAAACGATACGTTAGCTCCCCCCCTACAGCAAACAATTTAGGCAAGAAGAGTTTCTTCTCCTGCATAGCGCCTTAGAAGAAAAGGGATTCAGCAAAAGGTTGGGAGAGGGTTGCCCCGCAGCCCCCAGGATTTGGGAGGGGACGAGTTGCTCATTGGTCACCCCATGGCTGGATGTTTCCTGAGGGTGCACATGCGACTGTGCAACCTGCACACTCAGCCACAGCCTCACAGCCTCCTTGTTCCTCAGCATTCGTCACAAAAAAGAGGGGCTGAATCACCATATTTTGGCATCTCTGCCCACCACCTGTGATTTAAGAAAGCCCCAACTCTTTCTACAGTGTTAAATCTTCGTGGGGCTGGGGAGAGAAGGGGAATTGTCTCAATAATTTATACAATTGTAACACCACAGCAGAATTACCAAACTAGCTCAAGCAGAGGAAGCCTGCCCTACATCCACAAGACTTCAGTTATAATGTATTTTGACCTACTTTTCTTTTTTTTCCTTGCACATAAGGAACTTATAAAAACACAATCTGACACAAAGCCAAATAAAAACTCCTCAAATCCCAGGCATGATGGGTACTGAAAAACACCCCGGAAAGTCACTCGGAAAAAAATCCACCAGCTTTAGTTCAAAGCATCCCATATTCATCATCTTGCAAAATTTCTTTGATGGACCATCCTAAATGGAAATAGTTGCCCATGCTGAATCCTACATTCCCAGACCCCTCCAGAGCAGCGCACACTCGTCTACTCCACTGTTAAGTAAGATGAACATACACAGCTTCTCAACTGGCCAAAGCACCTATCGTTAAACTGAAGGGCAACCCTATAAATTAGGGTATCGCCTGGACGAAGGTTGGAGACGTAAAGCTGAAGCAAACACGAATTTTTCCTGGCTGAGCCAAAACATGGCAGGTTATGTTTCCTTATAACATGTATTTTACGTTTAATGCCTTTAATACCTCTGTTTTAAAGAAAGTATCTTAGAAACATACTTCACATACGCTAAGTATTTGGTATTTTCCTTTATTCAGTGTCTTAAAGGGCTTCAAAAAATTGATCTCCCAGGGATGCTGGGGGGTCACAGAAATTGATAACCCTTACAAGCTATGCTTATGTGAGCCCGCCTGCGTCTCCCAGATAGTGCACTTTGTAAATTAATCCTCCAAAGGCAAATATATTGTAAGTAGCTTGTTATCTCTAAAGTACTAAATTGAAGAATACATGGGATTATATTGACAGAAATTACATTTTCTGTAATGGGGTTTAATATATCTGGAATCTCTCCCATAGGCTCCTACTCTCTCTAAGAGAGGAGGGTTTGTTAATGTAGGTGCAATGGACATCAAGACCAAATTTATTCACTAAAATGGATTAGGCCATGTAATCAGAGCTTCAGTAATATTAATCTCTGACACTTATTGAACGGAAAAAAAAAAAAACTTCTGTCTGCAAACTGGCATTCCTCCCTCCCTTCTCCCCAGCAGGTTTGCTGTTTGCCTTGGCCATTTTCTGGGTATTACTTCAAAGAGGATAAGGTTTCCCATCATAAACACTAATCTAAAAATATTAGGACAATTAATTAGATACAGTTAGTTTTACAAGGTATTAGATTGCAATACACTTCAAATATGATGCCTGTTCTGGGAAAGTGGGAAAAACCTGCATTTTGATGCAGTAACAAAGGGTAATAAATCAAACTTTTTTTTTTTAAGGGTTTGCTGTTGTATTTTTATACTTAAATCATGAGTAATTTTCACTGGTTGCCTTCACCATGTCCCAGACAGTTAACAGTCCAAAATCCACTGCAGAAACAGCACAGATCCCAATTTTCCTCAAAGAAATTGCTACTACAACAGATCAGGGACTCCAGCAACCCTTAACTGGAATAAATAAATAAAATTGCTCCACATCATACTTCAGCAGCGAAGAGCCAGTTTGTCCTCAAAGTTTATTCAAGCTTTCAAAACCTGGACTTTTTAAACAAACTGGTAAAGAGAGAGAAGGACATCAGTCAAAAAGAAAAACCCCACTAACGACATCAAAACAAGGATGACAGCAGCCCAAAATAATAATACCCTCTGCAGAAATGGGCCAACTGCCCCTTTTTCAACTCAACATCTCCACCTCTTCCAAGACCAAATTTCTCAGAATAGATGTAGCTTCCTATTGAAGCAGACACATCCTCCATCAGAATGAGGACTGGTACTCAAATATGAATACCCTGAAATCTGCCCCAGCAATGGGAAAATTAATATGGCTTGTTTTCTGTGGTAGCCAAGCTCCTAGTTCCCACAACCGAAACCACTCACAAGGCTGTATCACTTTTGCATCGATAAACTGCTAAGGGGGAGCAGGCAAGGGCAAGGCGTGTCCTCAAAAATGTAAAGCGTTTGCCGGAGGGTGCCAGTGGACATACAGAAACACTAAGGAAAATTACTTACCAGTTGTTCACTTGAAGTATAGTGAGCCCTGTGTCTTGTGCCAACTGCTTTTTCTGTTCTTCTGAAGGGTAAGGGTGCTATAAGATACCAAAATAAATACATACATTTAAAACAATGCAGTTTTTTGGCCCACCTTTTATTTTAAATTAAAAAAAACCCACCAAAACAGAAGCGTGACATCTATTATTGAAAGGTGAAAATGCTGAGGTGTGTCACTCTTTTATAATTATTAATGGGCTACTACATCACTTAATTAATGGCAGTAAAAGACAAGCCAATTATAAAGATTAGTGAAGTGGAGAAATAACTGCTTAGGATACTGGCAGTACCTTGATACTCAAGAAGGATATTTGTTGCATTAGCTGAAAGTTTTTGCACTTGTCTTGAATGACCGATTAGAGTAAAATAATTTTTTTTCCCCCTGTATTTCACAGAACAACAAAGAATGCGACAAAGCACTTCTCTGTAAAACTAAAACACACTGATATTTTCTGAGATAGTGAAGACTAATCTTGCCAGTGCCCCAAAATAATTTGCAAATAAGATCAGCATCCTGAACATAAACAAACGTTTGGGTTTTGAACACAGGCCAACACGAGGTCAACGATCAGCACATTTTTGCCTGACATTAACATAGCTGTGCTGCGCTAATCCTAAAAGACAGAAAATAAATACTGGTTTAATTGAAGATAATGTTAGAATTCAATCATAAGTTTCTTGTAAGAACTTGATTGCTTTCTCAGAAAATTTGCTTCTGCATGAATACAGATTGCTTAGTAAATCAACAGCAAAACGACATCCAAGTTTGAAATTTAGAAATATCATTTCTGTCTTTTCCTTCCATCTAAAAATGTCACTGTCCCAAAAGGAAACAACCAAATACTGCAAACATAACAATTCCTAGGAAAAACACTTGTCCAGCTCCTAACCTGGACACCCAAGTCTCAGTACACATCAGATTCAGGCCTGGTCTGCTGCAAGGCATTTAATAACATTTCAATAAAGATAATTTCATATAACTGGTTAGGCATAACCCAAAATCCCACTTAGCAGTCGGTTGTCACAAAGTATTTGCTGTTACATACACATCACATTTTTTCCTGAAACATTCCCATATTCTTTGAATATATTCTTCGGCGTAATGTTACACAAGATGTAAACTAAAACCTTGTAAAACGTAAGAATTTAAAACCTCATAAAATTCTGCAATGCTATTGGTATTGTAACTATTTAGCAGATTTTATGTATTCTTGTGAACAGCATAACCTGACATCTAATGGCTATGTCACATGCCTGCATCACTTCACTCTACCAAACAGGGATTTTTGTTGTAACTCTGGCAACTTCCCTTGCCCAAAGTGCTCATTTCAAAGCCCCTCGCTGTGGCCACCGGCTTCAAAAAATACAGGATTTTTTCACCCCAAAATGGTGAGGAATTTCCCATTCTTTTAACAACACTGTTTTCTTGACAGTAAGCCCTCAGATAACCCACATACCTGTAAACTACCTCATTTTTTCTGCATGTACATGAAAGAGCTCCAGAACTGCAAAGTGGGAGACACACGGAAGGGGGGTTGACTTCTTTTTTATGAGGTATTTGCATTTTACACATGCAAACACATAGCATGAATTTTATTGTCCGCCTCATATGCATGTGCATCCACAACAAACATTCGTACTTGCCTTACATCCATCTATCTGAACATAACATTTTGCTTCTCTTCAAAAAAGAAACCCTACAGAGATGATTTGTAACATTTTCATCTTTATAGCTTACTCCCCACTTCATTGCTTTGCTATCAAGCGAGGACAAAATTATTCTTTTTTTTCTTATTTCGCTTGCCACCTTACATGTGATCTAATTTTAAGTAATTGAACAAACTGTGTCTAATTTCATGCAGCAAGCAATAATTACTAGACAGCCTCTAGCTATTGGAATTGAGAACTCTGTCTCCATTAAGCAATTTTCAATTGTTCTGGACTTTTTTTCCAAATAGACAAGACTGGATAAAATTAGCCATCAGAATAATACAGTCACTGTAAAAATAATTGCCTTAAAAGTCCCAAACCCCAAATTCCTCAAATTGCAGTATGTTTAAGGTCATCTGGTGGGGCCTTTTTTCATAGCCTAGAACAGTATAAACTTTTAATTTTATGATAAATCTATAATTGCCATAATCACATGACAGCTAGGACTTCATGCAGTTCACCCCTCCTAGCTAAAGGTTCACAATGCAGCAGGCTTTTTAACTATGATTTGGTGTGGTTTAAAATATCTTAAATGCTGGGCATCCTTATTATATAAGCTTTCTGTGGATCGTATGAGTTGTTCCTTTGTAGGCTAAAAAAAAAAAATAAAATAATAAAACCGGCTTGACAAAGAACCAGCATGCCACAGGCTAGGTTGCTATAAAAACATTCAAAGCCTTGTTGCATTCCCACCCACAGGGCTAGGAAGGCCTGTGCTACAGGCAAAGGCAGACATCACATTGCAACAGAGAGAAAGGGGAAAACCCTGAGAACTGCCATTTTATGAAGAAATAGGAAATTCAGTCGAAACTGTTGCTGTTGGTCTTTATTTCACCCAAGCAAGAATGACAGGTGCCTTCAAAAACCTTTCTAATGGGGGTTTAAAGGGACAAAGACACATGCACGGAGACAGGTGCATACATATTTGCATATATGCGTATATTAATTTGTCTGTATATGCATAAAGTATCTATAAATATATCTATAAATATACAAATACGTGTCTTAGTCATGCGGTTTAGTTTTAGGTAGTCCTGCGCGAAACAGGGAGTTGGACATGACAATCCTTACGGGTCCCTTCCAACTTGAGATATTTTATGATTCTATGAAATATATACATATATGTAGAAGTGTGTGTCTAAAAACACTGCAATGACTCCAAGTTGGCAAGTCCACCTATCACTCCAGATCACTTTGGGATATCAAAGCAAATTGTACCACTGTTCAATAAACAGTGACTTGAGACCTTTACTTTGTTGTGTACATTAGCTCCTACCATTATCTCCTAAAAGCTTAATTATTTGCAAACAATTGATCAAGATGGGAATTGGAGAAAAGAGACGCCGGACCACCGGGAGAGCTGCGATGCATTAGGAGAGCAAACAGAATTACCTTTAGGTCTTATAATCAGAATTAACGATTGGGAGCGTATGCGGGGCAGCGCAAGAAGCTGTAAGGCTCTTGCTGGAGTGTTTTCCATTTGATCTGCATTAACACCTCGAGTGAAAGCCATAAAACGGTGATTACAGATGGGAAGGCTGACCCTCCTTCCCAGAACCAGCCCAGCTTGTGTGTACTGGAAGATTGCAGACAGGCTTTCTTGCCAAGGCCAGAGGAAAAGGGCAAATCCAAGGGGAAAAAAAAAAAAAGTAGGAAGCAGGCAGGTTTAAAAAAAAAAAAAAGGCATTTGAAAGAATAAGGCTGACAACAGACAAGGACTCTGAATTTGGGTCCGGTATTTTCTGATCACGCCTGCTGCTGCTACAGCACTACAGAGCAGCATCCACCGAACGGTATGAGACCTAGTGCTTTTCCCTTCCCATAAATCTAGCGCTGAAATGCAGATTGTTTGGCACCATTAATGTGTTTCTGAGGCTCTGTGGTATTACTTTTAATAATGACTTAGTACAGAAAGTGATTGCTTAATAACACCATCAAAGTCTGCATGCAAATGAAAATTATCCCTGGGGGATTTGCCCAGGGTAATAGGAACAGTTAAGGAACATTTGAAAAGGTAAAAATAACTATGCAAAATATGAGTCAGAGCAGTCGTTTTAGCAGTAACAAAGAAATCAAAGTGACAGAGAGAAAAATGTAACTTTCCATCATATACTCTCGTCACTGTTTTATGAATGGTATTTAGAGAGCAGCAGTCTTAATAAAAGCCCCTTTTTAACGCAGCCGAGATAAATTTTAGCAAAACAAACAATAAGACTTTTTTTTTTACCACCTTTGACTACAGCCAGTGGGTACAGTCTCCAGCAGATACAGATGGAAAGCATCCAAGATTGTCTCTTAATGATACCCCTTGCCCAAATGTACTCCTTTCCTCAAATTTTCCACCCATGCTGCAAATGCTGGATGCCAGGACAGCAACAGACTTTATCTTATCTTTAAGCCGGTATCAATAACACTCCCTCCTTCCCTGCCTACCCCACTGTAGCAGCATGTCGTAACGGTGGCAGAAAAATATGAAAATAATCCTGCCCAGAGCTTACTGCTAAGATAACAGGAGGCAAAACCGCCACTTCTCAGCCCCCAGATTCCTAATTCCTCACGGCACTGACCCACCTCGACATCAGCACTGCCAACCAGCCCTACCACAGCACCCAGGCAGAAGCAATCCTCAAGCTAAAGGTTGCACGTTACAATATACGGATGTCGTGGCAACCATCCAGCATCGCCCTTATCGCGGCAGCGCCAACGCTTGGCTGACCGCGCCGGGAGAAGCATTTCGGAAGTCCTTTTATCCCCTTCCTCCAGCCCTCTGCCTCCTCCAGAGCTCAGCGTAATGCACCAAGGCGAGATGACCTTGAGCTAAACTCTGGTAGGTGATGGACAGAAACTACCCTCCCAAAACGTGTACCCTGAGGAGTGCCTATTAACTTTCTAACCTTAAAAATTAAAAGAAAAAACCCCAACAATATGATTTTCTTGTTTCTGAAAAGAGCAGCCCAGCTCAGCCTAACTCAGTAGGCAGAATAAAGCCCAAGGCTCAGCACTCCAGTGACAAACTGCACATCAGTTTTATGATATCTAAATCCTTGCTTTACCCAAACTTATCCAGGGTTAGCTATGGCAACACCGCAGCCATCTGGGTCTCTCCCCTTCCCCTTCCTCCTCCTGGTTTGCATTTGAACTGTTTACATTAGTGATCAAGTTGATCTATGAGAAATTATTGTTATTTTTAATATATCCATGATGCTTTCCTATTGTCTCTCAGCTTTATGAATTAGTTTTACTGTTGCAGTGAATGCTTTTTTTGTCTTCTGACTGCACATTATCAAAGGGACACTTTGTGCCTCCCATTTGCATTACAAAAGCAGTG